TGAAAACTGCCAGCCTCCCAACCCGTGCCCCACCACACCCCCCATCCTCCAGCCTACCAGGCTTCTGAAATTCCCTGTCCGGCCAAGCATTCTCCTGACTCTGCCCTTTGCTCATCTCTTCCCTGGGCTGCCCTTCCCAATGCCCTTTCTCTAGCTGGTCTTCAGTGCCCCTCCTCGAGAGAAACTTTGGACATATTCTGACAATCTTATTCAAAACTAACATTTTATTTTTGGGCTCCTAAGGCCCTTATCTTATATCTCTTTAATAACACTTACCAGGTTTTAGTTTGCTAAGTTTGGCTTACTGCCCTCTGGGTTAGAGGATCTATCTTTGTATCTTTCAGCATTTCACGTGTCTTGCTATATTAGGCCCTTATTAATACCTGTTTACTGACTTTGGATAGAAAAAGGTAAACATGACGTGAACAAAAATCCTACTCTTTTTCAATTTAAACATAAAAGACAAGTAAATGTTTCTATTTTTAATGTATATAAGGTGGTATACAGGGAACAAAAAAACCATTAAGAGAAAATATTCTTCTGAATATCTTTTTTTTCCCCTTTAGGACCAACTGGATTAAGGAGTACTTGGACACAGCGCCTGTTTTGATTCTCATTTTCAAACGAGTACACGGTTTTGCTGCAAATGGCAAGAAAAAGATCCACTACTATAATGAGATCAGTGTTTCCATCGCGTGTGGCATCCTCCTAGCTGCCCTGCAGGTATGTCACCCTCCCACTGGGCCCAAGAGAGAGACTTAATACTTGGGGGCCAACTGTGGTTTTATTTGCAAATTTCAGCTGAGTTTCTAGTTCAGGGACAGGAATTCCTCAGTAAGGGAACTCTGATGTAAAAACTGCCTCTGGAGGTGTCCCGGTCCTAGATAGGGTTCGTGAAGAGGCAGTTTAGGCTTGGCGTGGGTTCCCTTCACCTGTGGCTTCTGTGCATTCCAATCAGCAACATTTCCCACTTTACTGTGGAGTTTGCTGCCCTCTAGCTTTCTGTAAGGCATAAGTCTGAGTGTAGCTCTTGATTTGTGAAGGAGGAAGGAATCTTCTGGAAGCCCTTGTCTGGGCAGATTGCACAGAGACTGGAGGCATGCTCGACTCCCAAAGGCAGTTCCAGAACCTCCTTCTGGTCCAGGCTTAGCAATGAGCATCTGACGGGAAAAGCAGGGGGGGATAGAGAGGGCTAACTGGGAAAGTGTCTTGAAGTTACACGTGATTTTTATTGGATGTTTATTATTCGAGAGGGCTGGGAAGAGGTTGGTGGAGTATTTCCTCTACCTCTTACATACCTCTGGGCCACTAGGTCCTCCCTCACTGGACATAGGTATTTTCAGCTAGGGATGATGCTCTGCTTCCACTGTTGGTTATATAACCACAGGAACTGCCTTTTGTTTTTCCATTCCTTTGGTGTAGTTGGATACCCCAAATTTCTTTCCATGAAATAACCATTCCCATTTCTTAAGCATCAGTGAAAACTGACTGGTATTTTCTTCTCTGAGAAGCTTCCCACTGTTTGGTTAAGAGAAGGTGGGGTCTGGGGAGGTCCAGGAGGGCAGGTAGGATTCAAAACACCATGGCCCAAGCTGGTCGTCTCTTCAGGGAAGTGATGGGACAAGCAAATCTTATAGGGACTAGAACATGCCCAGGCTAGAAGCAGAGCTGGGATTTTGCCTGCTGACTTTAAAACGTTTTCTTTTCCTCTCCTGTTACAGAACGCGGGACTGGTGACTGTCACGACCACTCCTCTCAACTGTGGCCCCCGTCTGAGGGTGCTCCTGAACCGCCCTGCAAATGAAAAGCTGCTAATACTGCTCCCTGTGGGGTACCCCAGCAAAGAGGCCATGGTGCCTGACCTCGCACGGAAGCCTCTGGATCAGATCATGGTGACCGTGTAGGCAGGACACAGGCAGGGACATGCTGGAAGGTGATGCCCCCCACTCCTTTCTCCTGCTCCTTTTGGGAGTACAGGCTGCTCTCTCCCTGGGTGTTCCTGGCACTCCACTCCACAGGGCTGGCCTCTCTGTGTGTGAAGAAACCTTTGCACTTTCTACAGCACTTTGAGTCTGAGAAGACCTGCTTCCCGATAGTGTGATTAGCTGAACCATACAGAGTAAGAGATGAATAGATATGTTCTCTTCCATTTCTTATCCACTTTGGAAATGCATTAAATTTTTGCTAAGAACATGCCCTTGGTTTTTAAAGTTTTTTAATTGTTCCAGAAAACTCACGGGTGATTTTTTCTTTCACTCTTTAAAAACTCAAAGAGGAAAGAGTCAGCAGAAAATTTAATATAGTCCCAAGCATTCAGCTATGTGATGATTTTTAAGTTTAAATTTAGACTGATCAAACGGTTTTCTGCCCCCTGCTTTCTGGTGGCTTTTAGGCAAGGATGTACTTTTGAGATGCACTCTTCCTGAGCTTTATGGATATTCTGCCAGTTTTTTGTTTTTTTTTTTTGTGGTACGCGGGCCTCTCACTGCTGTGGCCTCTCCCGTTGCGGAGCGCAGGCTCCGGACGCGCAGGCTCAGCGGCCACGGCTCACGGGCCCAGCCGCTCCGCGGCACGTGGGATCTTCCCGGACCGGGGTACGAACCCGTGTCCCCTGCTTCGGCAGGCGGACTCTCAACTACTGCGCCACCAGGGAAGCCCCTATTCTGCCAGTTTTTAATAAGTAACCTTCAAAATAATTAAAACATCACAAGCACAGAACAGAACAGTGTGTGCTATGTAGACTGGCAACCATCTGGACATATAGATGGTTAGTCACATAGTCCAGAGTGCGTGTCGCAGCTGCCTCGCACCAGCTCGTTGAAGCTGATGGTTAAACATTCAGGAATTTTGTGAGCCAGTTATTAAACCATTTGCGGCTTGAAATTGCCCACGGTGGGAGTATTTACACCATGGCAACTGGCAGGCACACAAATCAGGGCTTGCTTTCTTTTTCTTAAGGGGACTGTTTTCCAGACACTAGGGAGTTCTAACTGTGTTCCCCTTCTTTTCTACTCTCCCCCACGAGACACACTTATCCTTTTTCTCCAGTTGGCAGTCACACTGTATGGAGCCGATGGGGTCACAGGGTGCCAGGCGGGGACTGCCAGCTCTAGCCCTTCACCTGTCACGCTCTGTCTTCCCTTCCAGGGGCGCTGCTCACACAGGTACACTCAGAGCTCAGATAATTGCTCATCAAAAGCAACTCTGCTCACCTCTCTATCCTCTTCCACTGTCTTTTTTTCTCTTCTATTTTTTTTTTTAAACTCAGATCCCTCCAGAAAAACTCTCCTGTCTCTATTCTTTTTAAAAAAATTATTAGTATTGGGATAGTTATTTGTCCTGAACTCTTTATGGTAAACGAGCATTGTTTTAACAACATTGTGGCTTTGTTAGATTTATGTGGACTGCGCTGGGAACCTAATCACTGTACGTCAAGTTGTTTTTAATAGGAAAAAGATACTCTTAAGTTCCAATAGCAGAACAATAAACACTTTGGCATCACGGTGCAAAGAAATTGAAGTTATATTTATGAACTTCTATTTCTAATGTTTTGAAGCTGTTTGAGCCCATTGAGCTCTTTGCTAGTTTTAGGGCACCCTGCTGAGGAGCTGCGGGTACAGGAGAACCTTGCCCCCAGGTGTGGGGTGGAGAAGGAATCTGGACACTGGTGGGGGTCTGAGTGCAGTTGTTCAAGTACAGAACCACTTGAGAGGAAAGTGGAAGTCCTATCACATGGGTTAGGGCCCTTGAGCAAAGGGTTGATCTTGTCACCTTCTAATCAGGCCACCTAGAAACACAGCCCTGATTTCTCATGGATGCTGAACACATTTGCAAAGGTACAGATTTGGGGGGTGCTCCAGCCAGCTTTCTCTTTGGGGGATAGAATTATTAGTAATTTTTTTTTTTTTTTTTTTTGCGGTACGCGGGCCTCTCACTGTTGTGGCCTCTCCTGTTGCGGAGCACAGGCTCCGGATGCGCAGGTTCAGCGGTCATGGCTCACGGGCCCAGCCGCTCCGCGGCATGTGGGATCTTCCCGGACCGGGACACGAACCCGTGTCCCCTGCATCGGCTGGCGGACTCTCAACCACTGCGCCACCAGGGAAGCCCAGTAGCTCTTAATCTGGACAGCACAGCATAGATGGGCCTGCATTCAAGTTTCCCTTCTGCTGCTCCCCAGCTGGGTGGCTGTGGAGAACTGAATCTGTCTCAGCCTCATTTCCTTCTGCTGTAAAATGAGGATAAATGCAGTGCTTACCTCAGGGCTTCTGTGGGGATTGAGTGTGATGATTCACATGTAGTTCCCGGCATAGGGTAGGTGACACATGGTGTTAATTTTGGGCTCTTGATATTATTATTAGTGTTATTATCACTATCATTAATACTATGTGCTATGCACATTTGACCACAAAAATTAAAAACTAAAATGACACCCTTTAAGAGTCTTGTCCTTAATGCACAAAATCATCTTAAAATGTAAAAGAAAGGTGTTCTGTCATCTCAGCTTGAGCCTGAGCTGTTTTGAGGATTTAGGTTGACATGGCTGTTTCTGGTGTGTTCTGGGAGCCTCTGGATGGGACTTCAGAGTCTATTTAATAGTGAGGTCTAGAAACAGAGATCTATTTAATAGTAAGGAAAAGGCTCCTTGGAAAACTGATTTTCAGGGAAGAGAGACTGGAGACATATAGTAAGATCCTATGATGGCAATCAGCGTCAGAAGAAAGGGGCAAATCTAAATGTGGTTTAGAGTCTGCCCCTCAGATACCAAGTCCTAGACTCTCACTAAGGTTCTGAGGCAGAGGGAGCTGGAGCCAGCAAAATAACTGCTCCCTGATGATCTCTCAGTCATGGGGGTATAGCCCAGCCCTTTGACCCACTTGTGTGTAGGATTGCATTCAAAGAAACATCAGATGGTCCTTGTTTGTCCAATAATCATAGATCAGCAATTAATATATTTACTGCCTTCTTTTGAGAATGCAGAAAAGGAAGATTCCAAAACTGAAAACCCTCTTTCCCATCTGTCTCTCTCTCTAAATATATATCTAACCAACATATGACAGCTGCTCCCAAGGTATATATTGTCCCCATTTGTAAATCATCTCAACATTTTGTCACAAACTTGCCCTATGAAGGCTCTCTTATAGCCCTTGCTCCTCTGAGGCCTCTGTGTCTATTTTATTTTATTTTATTTTATTTTTTGGAGATTTTTGAGCTAACTTTTTTTTTTTTTTAACATCTTTATTGGAGTATAATTGCTTTACAATGGTGTGTTAGTTTCTGCTTTATAACAAAGTGAATCAGTTATACATATACATATGTTCCCATATCTCTTCCCTCTTGCGTCTCCCTCCCTCCCACCCTCCCTATCCCACCACTCCAGGCGGTCACAGAGCACCGAGCTGATCTCCCTGCGCTATGCAGTTGCTTCCCACTAGCTATCTGTTTTACATTTGGTAGTGTATATATGTCCATGCCTCTCTCTCACTTTGTCCCAGCTTACCCTTCCCCCTCCCCATATCCTCAAGTCCATTTTCTAGTAGGTCTGTGTCTTTATTCCCATCTTGCCCCTAGTTTCTTCATGACCATTTTTTTTTTTTTTCCTTAGGTTCCATATTTCTTTTTCTTCTCACTTTTCACCATTATAAAGCCAGCTGGCCTTTCTGGCTTTCTGTTCTTGCCACTCCCCCTCCCCCATACATTATTCTGATCCTGGTAATAAAAGCCTAATAATGACAGGTGAGGAGAGACCTTTCTTAGCAGGTTGGGGAAAGGAGAGGAGACAGCATAGCTTCGTATGTCAGTATCACCATCAAGGTCACGTCCAAGAGACAGTGGTGACAGTGGGTATGATGGTTGAGCACGTGAGCTTAGGAGTCACCCAGCCTGGGTTTATATCCCTGCTCTGCCAGGGATCTAAGGGGAAAAAACCCTTATTTCCTTGGTGATCTTGAACTAGCTGCTTAATTAAGGCTATTATCTGACGTGTAAAATGGGATTAATCATCCTTACCTTGTGGGGTTTGGCCCAGTGCCTGGTACACAGCACTTTTAAATGATAGGTGTCATATTGTGGTGGTCATGGTTGATACCACTGTCATTGTCAGGCAGCCCTGCTTTGGGTTCCAGGTGGGCAAAGGTAAGAAGAATGGGCAAGAGACCCCTCCCTGCAGGGAAGAAGCCTGGCTGTAGGCCAGGTGGAGGTAGCCCAGAGAGGGTCAGCCATACCAGGCCAGAGAGCTTCTCAGCAGACACCACTGGGAACTTGAAATGCTTTTTTTCCCTCTGTTATAGTTAATGTTATCAATTCGATATGCAGTTGGGTAGTTACTGTTTGCATGCGTTTTTAACATTTTTATTTAAAAATTACAATGGGGGATGAGAAAATTGGAGGTGCTCACCCCAGCGATTGCATACCTTGGTCCAGGAGTGACTTCCAGTGAGTGACAACCAGTGAGTGACAACCCACTGGCCAGAGCTAAGTCACATGGCCTCATTAGAAGGTCAGGAAATGTTATCCTCCTGTGTCTGGAAAAAGAGGGGACTGAGATGGGAGTAAGCGTTAAAAGTCTCTTTCCCCAAAACAAGTAACTTGGAACTTAGGAAATAAACTTGGATACAACAAAAAATGTGCCAAGAGGAAGGAAGGCTGAAGAAATGGATGAAATTAGAATTAGGATGATGAGACGCATAAAGATCCTCTTCTGAAAGGTGAACATTAAGACTGGTTGATATTTGTCTGATACAGCTTTTAAATATAGCAACCATTTGGGCCAAGAAAATCAATATCAATATATAGAGAAGGAAACTAAAATTCCCTTCTTCCTAAACATTCCTGCCTCTGCCTACAAAGTGGAAACTTCTATCTCAGAAGTACTGAAGGAAAGTCCCTATTTCCACGTTATTTGCTT